AGGGTAGGCGCACTTCCCGTCCCATAACGATGCTGGCTGGAGTTTGCCCTGTAGATTCTTGGACGGATGAACGGTAGGCCAACAGGAACAGGTGAAGAAATTTGTCCCAGTCTCTTTGGTGGTCAGAGACTACTTTGGCCAGATAACGGTTGATAGTTCTGTTCATGCGTTCAACCATCCCATCGGATTGTGGATGTAGAGCAGTCGTCCTGGTCTTGCGGATGTTCAGGACTTCACAGACGCCTTGGAACAGATTGGACTCAAAGTTTCTTCCCTGATCTGAATGAAGCTCCATGGGAACACCAAACCTGCAGATCCATTCTTTAACAAGGGCATCAGCAATCGTGGACGCTTCTTGATTTGGCAACGCGTAGGCCTCGACCCATTTGCTGAAGTAATCCATTACTACCACAATGTATTTGTTGCCATCGTTCGTCTCCGGGAAAGGACCAGCCACGTCGATCGCTATTCGTTCGAAGGGACTACCAACATTGTACTGGCGCATAGGGGCTTTACCACGCTTTTGTGGCCCATTAATGGCTGCGCAAATGTCACATTTCTTACACCAGGCCCTCACGTCTTCTTTGCAGTTCACCCAGTAGAACCGTTCACGCAGCTTGCCAAGTGTCTTGGTAACACCAAGATGTCCACCGCTGGTTCCATTGTGAACTTCCTCCAATACTTCTGGGACCCTCTTCTTTGGAATGACGATCTGCCTTCTCTCTTCTTGTCTCGTTCGCGGCCTCAAATTCTAGGGCACGTGCTAAAGCATCCACCAAGTGCGTTGGGTGGGCTAGGAGAAGTGCTTGTCTTGTCTCGTTGTCACGTAAGCCGTCGGAGAATGCCTGTACTGCCAACCGCTCCATAACATTCTCTGGCGTAGCAGGGTACGCAAGGCGAACGAGGCGGGCTACGTCGGCTTCAAACTCCTGCAGAGACTCATTTGAATTTTGAATGCGATTTTTTAGCTGGGAATGATAGACATGTTCCAAATGAGCTTGGCCGTGCCTCATTTCTAAATGTCGTACCAATTGCTGATAATCTCCCTGTTCCGATGGTGACAATGTCTGCAGGATATCAGTCGCATCTCCTCGCAGTGCGACAGTCACAGCGGTAGCCTTTTCAGCGATTGTCCATCCGTTCGCTCTCGCAGCGGCCTCAAACTGGCAAAAATAATTGGCCCAAGCGGTTTTTCCGTCAAACTGTGGAGGCTTAATAACTGACTTTGAGATATACTTATTTTCGACTAGTTTCGGTGCCTCCGATGTTTCTTTGACATTTTGGTGAATTTGCCTTTGCTATTTCTTGTTTTAAAATTCGATTTTTCTATTTACATCTTCCTCAATCTCTGTTATTTTATTGTTAAAACTTTCTTCCAAAATTACTATTTTATTATTAAAGCTGGCCTGTATATCTTTAGAATTTTCGATGATCTTATCTTCTAATGTATTGATTAAATCCTGGGAATTTTCCATAATTTTATCACTGATTTTCTCTTCTAAATTAAATTCCAAGTCAATTATTTTACTATTCAAATTGTTCAAGTTGTCGTCTAATTTTTGTAGGCACGAGTCAAGGTCACCTTCCAACTCAAAGCAAAATGTGTCAGGATCCTCACCTTCCTCCACCAAAACGTCTCTTAGTCTAGCTTGCAAAATGCTTTTCTTTCCATCTGTTTCGCATTCCCTCTCTTCCAGAACGCTTTTTAATTCCGACACTTTCAAGTCTTTCAACAATTTTTTCGGAGCCATTGTCTGTCTTTTTATTTTACTAGTCTATCACACACGCCACACTTGACACCAATTGTTACGTTTTTCGTCGGTTCCGTGTGGATAGAAAGTCACAATTTATTTAAACACTATTTATTTAACACTAATGAACAAAAATAATAACGATAAAAGACTTATAGAACTATTTACAAACGATTTATAACTAAGAATTTATTTTGAATTTTAGCGCGTCAACTGTATATTTATAACTGCCCCCTGTAGGCCACCGCCGCCGGCTTTTATACCAACAGGTAAAGAACTCTAGAATTGTCCATAGATCGTTAGGTGCGTAGAGAAGGTTTTCGAATGTTCTCGTATGTACTCGTCCATTCCAGTGGGACTCGATTCTTCTCGAACGAATGAATCATAGCGGTGTCTATGCGATGTTAAGGTCATACGAGGGCGGGCCATATTGTGAGGTTAGGTCGAGTCCACACGGGCCCGCAACAATAGGTATTGATAATTTCAATTCCAAATATCTCGAGAATCATTACTCGTAGCGATTTTTACCAAGAGGCATTTTTTACGTAAAAAACTTCGTAAATTTATATTTTTTTACTCAGTAGTTTTATATAGGTACAGACGAAACGCTATTACTCTACAAACCAGTTAAAAATATGTAGGTGGCGTCCTCTACAAGTAGGGGTCATATTGACATCAAAATAAAATTTCTCATTCCAAACCAAACCATCGTAACAACAGCTATTTTAGAAACGTCTAGGTTTACTTATTTCACAGAGATTTATGAAAAAAAAAGTCCTTTGCCTCGGGTACAGATACTGCCACGTTTTGGAAATAGCTCAAAATAAAAAAAAATGAACGAGGCGAAAGTAACGGAAAAAAAAGTTTAAAGATGCTTTTAAGAATCGAAAGTAGATCGAGGCAAACCGAACTGGGTCAAGACAACTGGAAATAAACTGAAATGCGACAAAGTTGGGCGATAAAATGCAACCTTGACCTGTTTAGAAGAATTCTCTACATAGTGTAAAAGATGTTTTACAGTTTTCGAGATCCTAATGATCTACCTCAAATTTTGGATACCCAGTAGAGTATTCTTTCGCGAATCCGTTTAAAGTTATGTATAACATTTTATCCTTAAGTTTCCTGCAAGTTTTCCGGTTATAGAGAACACACTCAAACGCATCCTCTTTACTTTTAATCTGACAACCTGCAACTCTTAGTGAATGCACCTTCTTCTCCTACTCTTTGAGAACTACTCCCGTCTATACTAATCTATTCAGACGTAGGTAATTAGAAATTTACTTTTGTTTCGTGGCGAAACCGCGCCCTGTCTAAACAACAAATCGGGTCGAGAACAAAGCCGTAAGCAAATTAATTTATAAATTTATAAACATTTAAAGTAGTTGCTTTATAGTCGGAATATTCTTAATGCCGGAGCGGGCGCTGCGAGCGTTCGTTATGCCGTAAGACAGGTAATTAGAAGTTCGCTAAAAGGTATTTAGCGTTGAAATTATTCCGTTCAGATTCGTTAAATAATAAATATGGTATGTCAAAAGAAGGATAAGGCAAAACATTAATTATATAAATAATTTCTACACCTTTGTGTGAGGGGGAGGACCTTTAATGGAGTAATTCGCCATTCAAACTTAAGACTCCAAATATGAACTAAATAATATAAGACTTGAAAGACCCCGACGAAATTTCTCAGAATTTACGACTGACAAATATCAAAGATTCGGAAAAATTAAAAATGTGATTGAATTTTTAAATGCTTTATTCGATAGAAAATGACATTCTGAATAGAATGACATATCATATGTCGACTTTTGACATTCTCGCTTAAAAATCATTTTAAATTTCAATCTAGAGTACCATGGCTGTGTTAAAAACACAAATTTTTAATCAAGGAGTCTTGGGAAAATATATTTGATCGTCTAATGTTTTTCGTGTCTTGTCCTGGCCGGTTAAAAGATGCCCAAGTCGTATTTTAAATCATATCTCACTTTTTTCAAATGGAACGAGGGTGGCAATTAGCATATTTGAAAAAAGATTTTTTTTACGAATAAGTTGTGTAATATTATAATCAATACCACACTCGGTATTTAGAGTCAAATTGTGGTTACATTTAAGACCATGGCACACTAAACTAAAATTTAAAATTCTATTTTTCTTAAATTGAAAATGTCAAAAGTTGGCATATACTATGTCATTCTATTTAGAATGTCATTTTCTATCAAATCAAGTAAAAAAATACCAAGGATGTCATTTAAAAATCAAAAATTGTAGTCATTTCCGGTGAAACAGGAAGTGACCGAAAATAATTGAATACGTCAATCAATACGTCAATTAGAAAGATATGGCAAAGTTCAATACTGCCGCAATTCCGCTATTAACACCGACGTTATTTTGACATTTGCGTTTGTCGAACTTTGAATTATGGCAACAAAAAATAGCGTTGACTGATTTTGACGATTATACCAACATTTTTTTAAATTTAGCCTTAACCTAGTTTTCTGATTTTGTCAATCAAAAGAGCATCTATATTCATAATTTGTCTTTATTTTTATAAGAAAATAGCTATTAAATATATCAGGAGTTTTAATTAGTGTCTAAAAGAAAGGGTGTCTAAAAAAGAGTACAATTTAACCCAATAAAGAGTTATCTTAATTTTTATAAAAAATATAGTATCTCACCTGATAAATAATGTTCTGAAACTGTCGTCAAATTATCGCACGGTGTGTTCTCCACCTAAATATCAGCATGCGGTAACGTTAATAGCGCACAAACGCTTATTATGACACTATCGTTGCCATGTCTCTCTATTAAATAAAGTCGAATGGCATCATGATATCTGAGACAGTGAGGCTGCTCAGAGACTTGCAGTTGTTTGGGTTGGTAACTAACCAACTGCAGATCTATTATTATGACTCCAAGAATAACTAGCAACTGATCTCAACACTAACTAACAACGCTATCTTCTGTGTACTCTTTTATATCAATCATGTCATCGTTGATTATTTATCGGCGTTTATGTAGTTAAACAGTTTACTATAATTCAAGTAATCTGGCGATGAATACGCGTTGAACTTAACCTTTAGTTACTGGCATCTGATTACGTGGACCCGAATATTATTTTCAAATAACTTACAAAAAGTTAAGGAAAAATCAATAAGTTTTTTCAATTTTTTGTTTAATTTAAGTGTTATATGTGTTAGAGGACAATATTGCCTGAGAAACATAAATTAAAATATGATCCATATAATGACTTACCTGAACCATTAGTGAAATAGCCACCACGCCTTGTGATTTATGTTGTGCCTCCGACATATTGTGGTATAATTCTTTGTTAAATCCGTAAAATTGGATCTGAAACATAAATAAGAAATAATATGTAGCGTCAAAAAAGGAGGGTTCATAATCTCAATAAATAAGGTGATATTTTTGGCGATATAAATGCAAATAAACGAATTTCAGAGATAAAATATATCAAGCAACACTTTATATAAAACTAGAAATAATTAATAGTCTTAAAATAGGGTCTAGTATTCCCGCGAAGTTCAGCACAGTCGTAACATCCATTCTTCGAAGCAAGTCACAGCACGCTTTATATTTTCTGTTACTATTACCGATTCGAAGTTGATCAAAGAATGTCTAGGGGAGCTTATCAAATTAGGCAAAGAAAACAAAGTCCTCCTACTCAGGGTTCCCGCTCACCAAGGGATTGAAGGTAATGAAGAAAAAAACGATCTAGCAATAATAAAAGCGAACACCTCCATTTACTGTACCAAGCAGAAACCAACTTAAACCGGAAGTGAAGAACCTGGAGGACTCCATCCGTAACCTGGAATGGGAATCATCCAACGGTCTAAGACTCTCGAAAAAGTTCCTCAGAACTTACAACCAAGAAAAAACAAAGATTTTACTTGATTTAAGTAAGAACAATCTTCGGATTGCCAGGGGGTTTCTAACAGAACACTGTTTCCGCAACGAAAACCTCAGTAGATTTATGGTGAGAAACAACAGCAAATGCAGATTCTGAGGGGAAAATGGAAAATGGGGAACCACCAGAATACCTTATCGTTGAGTACGCCGAGACGACAACCGTTCATGCCATAAACTTGTATCCGGCTGATGTCAAAGATGGAGAGCTGGACTCTGTGGAGTCGTCTCAGATATTGGCTTTTGTCAAAGCTTTGAGACTGTATCAAAGAGTAGATAAAACAAGAGACGACAGTGAACAAAGAAGTGGAATTTCGCGGGAGAGACGCAGATATATTAAAATTTAAAGGTCACGTCAAGTCCCATTTTGTCTGTTGCCAAGTATATTTCTTCGAAAAATAAACAAGATTTTCTAAAAATAAATTAATAATATAAGAAGGATATAAGTAACGTATGTTAATACGGAAATGTAAATTTTTAGTTTAGGTTGGTTTAGGTTCTTTTTTCGCAATGTACTGATAATATCAAAGAAACAGAATGACTAAAGTTGATCGATTTCAAAGATAAACAGATAAAATCTGACAATCTGACAACGGCGCATTTTATTTATTCTAACCTATTATTTTAGGACGCTAATCAGCTGTGCTAATCAGGCTTAAACATAAACAAATCTGATTAGTTGTTTTCTTGCATTTTTGCCTTTTTAAAGTGTGTTTTCAGAGTTTTTCGATATATTATCGTTTTGAGAGTTTTTAAGGTTTAATTTTAGTATCGTTTTTATTGCGTTCTAATTTGTAATTATTGTTAAATATGAATACTGAACAGGACACGAGTAGCAGGAAAAGACGAGATGGTGGCAATGTGTTTGCTTATAAAGACTGCAAAAATAGGTCTTATTCTTCGACAAACATAATATTTAACTCTTTTCCAAAGGATCCTGAAAAGTATTTTTATAGAAATATACTATATAACTATGTTATTAAACTAAATGTCATCCATAGATCTGTAATGAAGTTCATAAAATTTCTAGGACACCCTGTATATTGTGTTAATATTATACTAGAATAATAGGGACTTTATTTTCTTTTAATAATGACAGTCAATGTATTTTATTGTTAACTCATTATTGTAATGAACTTCATTAGTGTTTCTATTGTTGAATTAAATAAGTTAAATATTTAATTGCCATTTTGTAAGAGAGTTTTGATCGGTTTTGGTCGCTGTGGTTCGGTGCGAGAAAACGAGACGTTTGCGCCGCTCTCCCTACCAGTGCAGGTTGAGTGGAAGGAAGCGTCAGTCGAGTACCTCGGCTGCAGCAGCTCCAGAGAGACAGTTTGTGGTCGCACGTGAAACAGTGAGGTTCGAGTCCGGAATGCCCTGCCAAGTGCCCTGCTGCCAGCCGCCTGCCGCCGTACTGTATAAGGTAAGCACCCACCGCCAACGTGATCGAGAGTAGGTCGTATTCTTTTTATTGTTAATACCGTTTACTTTACTGCCTTGACGCGTTACAGGGATAAGGGAGACAGAGATAGTTATATTCGCTCAGGTAGACCAACTGTCCTCTAACGAGGTGGGGGCTATTTGACCGGAACGCGGAAAGCTAGCAAAACTCGTATTCGTTCAGGTGGGCCAACAGTCCTCTAAGGAGGTAGGGGCCTGGTTGATTGGATCACGTGGACGCGAGGAGCGGAGATATTTGTATTCGCTCAGGTAGGCCAACTGTCCTCTAACGAGGTGGGGGGCTATTTGATCGCTATTTCTTCGATTCGATATTTAAAAGCTAGCAAAAATTGTATTCGTTCAGGTGGGCCAACAGTCCTCTAAGGAGGTAGGGGCCTGGTTGATCGGATCCCGTGGACGCGAGGAACGATTTCTTTTGTTAAAGAAAGGAAGGAGAGTGAGACAGATAACGGTTAAGGTAGTTCAGTAAACACACGGGTCGCGAATGTTCACGGAGCTAAACCAGGACTTCGCCCAAATCCCGAGGCTGGTTTTGTAGCTCCCGTATTTTTCTAGGTGTGTCGTCCGGACGACACCCTGCATCAGTGATGCTGGACGGGATCTCGCCGAAATCCCGAGGTTGTCCTGACCGGCCGGTGTGTGTGCGGGCTGCGCTTATCCAAACGACGTACAACTCGCCGAGACGTCGCTAACGTCGTGATCGATCCAGGGCTCGCGTGTGTGTATATCCCACAGGACGCTGTTAGTTTCGCGATCGATCCAGGGCTCGCGTTTGTGTATCCCTCGGGACGCTGTTAATTTCGCGATCGATCCAGGGCTCGCGTGTTTGTATATCCCACAGGACGCTGTTAGTTTCGCGATCGATTCAGGGATCGCGTTTGTGTATCCCTCGGGACGCTGCGCTGTTAATTTCGCGATCGATCCAGGGCTCGCGTGTGTGTATATCCCACAGGACGCTGTTAATTTCGCGATCAATCCAGAACTCGCGTTTGGGTATCACGGGACGCTTTTAACGTCGACGCCGATCCGAGGTTCGTGTTTCGTTGTCAAAACGGACGCCGTTCCAAGAAATATTTAGCTGTGACCATCGGGACGCCTGTAACGACGTCGCCGCCGTTTAGAGAGTCGCGTCATAGTAGAGTGTGTTGCTCCGGTACTTACGTGTCTGTGTTCATTAGGACGCCGCTAAATTCGACGTCGATCAGGAACTCGCGTCGTCTTATTTAATAGAACGTCATTTCGGGAACGCGTTTTGAATTCCCGTAATAGAATCAGTCAGAGAGTTGCATCTCGGGAATAATCGATCAAAACTCTAGAGGTACACGGTTGTTATTGTAAATTTTACTTTACGGGTCTTTAAATATACATTTTATTTCACTGTTGTTACGATTCGAGGATGTGAACCTTCCTGGATTATTTTTGTACATAATTAATTAGTTAAATAAAAGCCTAGTGTTACGTTTTAGTTAATTGTGTTTTATTTTCTTTTCATCTCATCACTCCCTGGTATCTCCACTGTATAAAAGCTACCCGTATTGGCACTAGTGGTCTCTCAAACACTTTAAACATTGGGGGTGGCGCCCGAGGAACCGAACCAAGGTAACTCGGCGTCCGTGACCTTTCTCTAAAACGGGGGAACGTCACAAATCGAAGACATGGTTAGAAGAAGATTAGTTAGCTTATAATTGCGAGGATTTATTCAATAAAAATTGAGCAACTCTATTTTTTTGTACATAAACTCCACATTGTGATATTACACTTGTTCAAGTCCATATGTAAAAAAATACACGTAAATAAAACATTTCTTACAAATCGACTTGGTCACTTTCTCTTGTTTACCAACGATATACAAAATATTGCTTTTATTATCTTTATTCCCCGACAAATATGTTTCTAATTATAATTTATTTTATATAATATTTAGAAAACTCATTTTTTTTGTTTTTATTTATCTCTTTACCCATACAGTAACTATTTATAAGCTATACAGACAAATTTTAATAATAGTCTATTTCAAATTTCCCGCGAAAGAATTACGAAAATTTGAAGGGACAAGCGAGACGAGGTCACTCTCCCAACCACTCAAACATGAAAGGTACCGCGTGAACTGTCGTCTCTTGTCTTATCTACTCTTTGGCTGTATGATGAGTTATAACCCATTATAACTCAAGAACGAGGTCGCGATGATTAACCCTCCTCTTAAATATTCTACATTCTACGTGAGACTAGGTATATCCCTATAAGTTATGTATTGCATTATTCCTATTTTGTTACGTTTCAAAAACATATTTCTAACACCAATACGAATATTCATCAATTACGATAAAGCGTTAGACATGATTATATTCAGAGGTAAGGAATTAACGGTTTTGGTAAGTAATTCTAGAACACAATTATATACGAAAACAATAACAGAATCGGCTAACTAAGCTGTGAAATATTCAAAATACGTGAAAGTCAATATAGTGGAGAATAGTGTTAGATTAATTATTTAAAGGTTTTAAATAACTACAATTAGAGCCAAACTTTAACCTTATACATATTAATAACAGAGCATTAAAGAGCCTAAAATCAGCTCTACATCATAAAGCTTCATTCAGAACCTCGCAATTAGTAGAATACATTAGTGGTTTCAATTACACTTTATACTTTTTAGGTTACGATCATTCATAATGTCTAAATGATGTGTAAAAAACACAATTAATATTAATAGAATATCCTAACAACAGCTTGCGGTATAGTCAGTTAGTCAGTTAGTATCCACAGTGATAGATACTTAGCTTATAAAACACACACAATAAACTTTTGATTTCTAACCACAATTTCTCTTGACGGATGAGAAATCAAAAGTCAAAATGACATTCCCTGCAAATTTTGAAGTATAATGAGTGGAAAAATCAATGGTTTGTTAACTTTTTCTACTAATTGAAAATGACGACCACTAATTTAGACGTTCCGAATGCTAA